ACTCTCAACACAGAATTTGATATGATAAAATGCCTGGTCTTGCTAGAAAGTCACAGCTTCACTGTTACCAAACGTCATTTGTGGCAGTCTGACGTAGTGGTTGACGTGTCATTATTATACTTTACACTTCACCAATTCGGCTTTGAGTCCTGCCGGGGATGCTGATTAGACCAGGTCGGGTGAGGTCGAAAGTAGAGTTCACTTCAGCCTGGATGAGAATAACTTTTGGAAAGCAAGAATAGGTGAAATTCAATTGAAACGTATTGCCTATTCATAGCATTGTGGAACACTTCCCTTACCAGTCAGTGATCCCCTTACACGAAATATGGGGAATACATCTCATATAATTATGGGAATTTTGCATCTCTTTTGTGGTCATCAGATGAACACGAGGTAATTCTGGGTAATCATAAGTCAAATATTTAGCAGAATATAGTTATTTAAAATATATACTAAATATAAATTTAATATTTTGCTAAATATCCTATGATTACACATTTCCTGCTTGCTTGGCACAGATAGTATGACATTTTTGTCGGAAATCTAAACACCGTCTACAGTAGAGTGAACAAAGCAAAGAGGGGCTTCAAACAGCCTCCTGGTTTACAAGTGTAGAATTCACTTACAATTTAAATAAAGTGTGTTATGAAGAGAGTTGTGGGCCGATCCACCCAGAAGGCTCATGTGGATTTCTCTCAGCAGGCCGTTGTTCAGCTTTCCAATTAAAGTGTGTCTAGCTTTCACATCTCATTTGGAGGCTATCAACTGCATTAATAGCTACAAGTAGAAGGGAATGTAACCTCTCCCTTTGGTCATCAGGTACTTATAACCATTTTTTAACAATCTCTGTGCATTAAATAGCATGCATAGTCGATAAACCATCCATTTAGTCACTTCATAAGATGACTGGAGTCAAATAAACTATTTCTTTCCCAATGCCATCGCGTGAGGCATCGAGCCTCAAGCAGCTTGGTTGCTAAGATTTATTAGAGATCAGTCTGATACAGACTCATTGCAAGATGACATTATGTTAATCAGTACAAGATGAAATATTAAAACTTACTTGCCAATTTGCATAGAAATTTTTTGTATGCTTGGATGGGGTCAGAATTCAACATTTGAGCTTGGTCAGAATCTACTCTTACGATATAGCCAACGGATGACTGCTCTCAGGACGTTTTCGATTTCGGCCCTTTAGTTCACAAAGAACTAGGTAATACATTTTGGTAAAGTATTCTAACTAGAAATGGGTTGACCTCGTTGTTGCAACTTGGTATTGTTGTCATGGCGACTTAGTAGAACGTCTGCCATAGTAGTTGTCATAATTCCCAGCATCAGACAGTGGACATTCTCAAACGTTTCGCCGGCATCATCTGATGCTGGTAATCATGACAACTTTCATGGCAGACGACTTCAGTCTAGGTGCGTTATACTAAGTCACCCTGACAACAAGACCAAGTTACGACAACGAGGACAACCCACTTCTATAAATCGAAAGAAAGGAGACTGCGACCATACCAGAGGCCACAACATCTTGGTTTTTATATATTCTAACTGGCTCATGCAACCAAACTAGCTCGAGTTTTGGCATTGATTTCATAATTGCTGGTGAATTCACATCCCAGCTTCATATTTATGTAAATCCCATTTTTTTCTTTTCCACAATGGCCAACCCATGCGGAATTTAAAAGTGATTTCTTTCCTTCCATTTGTCCTTAAATTTGCTTATGCATCAATAAACTCGCATAAATGTCAGTTTCTTGCTCTTTCGAGTGAAGACAAAAACGAACTTCGTTGTTGGCTTGGCCACAATTAAAGATGACAGAATGTATCTTTTTCAAGAAGTAACTTATTTAGGGGGTTCAAGTTTATTGCAGACAAGGTTTCTGAATTAACGTATAAGTATAGCGGTTAGTATTTTACTAACAGTAAAGTGGTAACTGTGAAGCTATGACTTTCTAGCAAGACCAGGCATTTTATCATATCAAATTCTGTGTTAAGAGTGTAGAGGAAGCGATCAACAAGATTATGCATTTTTTGTCTATAAGAAGGTTTTCGAGACTGCCACTATATCATATATATGAGATGTATTCACCCCATTCCTACGAAAGAATGTGATATGGGTAAACTCCTGGCCTTCCTTCAAATTCACATCCACCCTGTGAGCAAATGGAACTCGTGAAAGTGTGAATTGGTGGTTAACGTGTCGAGATTATAGACTGCACAACCACAATCTGGGTTAGAGTTGTGCTGGGGTACTGGGGAGACCTTGGCAATGCCAAAACTGCAGTTCAATTAAGCCTAAGCGAGAATACCCTTTTGGAAGAAGAGCTATGTGAAAATGAATTGAATCGTAAGGTCTACTCATATCATTGTGGAAAAATCCAACTACCAATACTTTACTACCTTAAACGAAATAAGATGAAAACATCTCATATATATATATATATATATGCCATATTAGTTGTCTCGAAAACCTACCTATAAACGAAAAATATTCTGACAATTGTGGAAAGTGTCCTATTTCTTTAAAAAGTATCAAATTGGAAGAAAGTGACTGGTCTCATTAGATTCTACAATTGCCGATTTCAAAAGGCGGTCTCATATTCCTTTTCGATATCCTGACTGGCTTTATATTCTTATCTGCTCAGATAAAAGGAAACACGATTTTGCCCCAGACAAGCACTATTCTTTTAAAATTGGCTAAAATACTAACTAGTGATTCCAGAACAAGAGCTTAGTTCTCATAGTTAGCATAAGGTGAATCAAGAACTGATAGATGATAGACGATTAGGCTACGGCTTGTCTCTCATTATGATTTCTTATCTAGGGTGGAATGCAATTTCGACTTGGATTCTATTTTATGCCGTGAGCATCGTGGCGAGATTAGGTCTCCACTATACAGCCACCGGTGCCAGTGGGCCACAGAACAGATGTGATATTTAAGACAAGCTAGTCCCATCCCGATTCACATCTATCGTGTGATTATCGATGAGGCAAACATGTAGTTATTGCAATCGACGCTGTTGGTAGATTCAGAAACTATTAGTCACATTTGCTCTGTAACCCACCAGTGGTTTTGTACCCGAGTGGTACCGTCGCGATCCGCTATCGAATCCGTTTGAGGGGGAGAAGGGGCTAATGAAATTCATACAAGGTCGAAACTGTAGTCCACATTAGATAAGATAAGCAGTTGGCAGGCAGGCCTAAGTGAAATTCAATGAAAACACGAGGCATACTCATAGTATTGTCTGAAAAACGCACCTTATATAATCCTTATTAGTAACTAATAGTATATTGATGATGTTTATCCCTTGTTTAAGGGTGGAAATTACCCATATCATAAGCTTCAAGAAATAAACTTTAAATCCGTATTTTCCTTTTGATGAGATAACTGAGAATAGTTTCAGTACGAACTAAAATAACACGGTATCACATCGTTTTCATTCATTCGGTTTTCATGTGTTCGTTAAAATGATTTCTAATCTTTTACTTTTTTATTCACAAGTATTTTATTAGTAATGCTTGAAAGTAGTGTTGTTTGGAATCCGTACTAATTACATACTCTAAGGTAGCTACAACTTTAGTGGCATTTTGTGAGAAACCTTTGTTATTCCCCAAAAGACCATAAGACATCTTACTTGGCTCCGAGCAACCACTCATGTTGTTATCAGTCCCCAAAGCACCGACTAATCAAGCGTGTACAAGGGGAGCTATGGGAAACGCTTTACTCACTCAGTATTGCCGTGGGGCTGTGGTGATTATGTCATTAAACGAGCACGCTTTGCGTTTGGGTTTTGGGTGGCTGGCGTTGATGGGTCCAAAGATCCGGTAAAACCACAATTTTACAGCCCAAGCTACATTCAAGCCTCCTCTGGAGTTCGTCGAAGGTAGAGCATCTTCCAAACGGTCAAGCATTAGAGATGCTCTTTCTCTTTTTGAACATATCAACTGGTTAGGCATTCTAATGTTTGCTAGTTAAGTACACAGTCAAGCTTCATTGTTTCGGTAGATTTGTACCAGTGCTTTGGTCTATAATGTTGAGGGTTGATCAGTAAAACAAATATGTTTCTCCTGTTTTGGTGAAGGGTTTTAAAAAGGTGACTTTGAAGTAACGCTTTTGGCTTTATTTTATGCCATTCTTTGTTAGGTGCATCGCACACCGTCGCCTACAGCATCTTCCACGATGGTGGAATGGCTAGCCCAGCTGTGTCTGAGCTGTGCAGAACTGGAAATCTACGGAGCCTGGAGCAGGAGTTTCGCAACGCAGGCGACAAGTTGTTGACGGTTATTCGGACTAGAGGCATCAGTTCTGCCGCACCACCGGAAAGAAGGTAAAGAATGTTAAGGTCAGGTCAAGCTTGCTTGTTACTTCTGGCCTGACAGACCCTGTTCTGCCAGAGTATACCATTATTTAGACTATGATGATGTTTTCCTTAGGCCTCGTATCAGTTTACTTTCGTTTCCTTTAATCTAGTGTTCGAAATTGAGTCATGTTCGCAGAAAAACATTTTTTCAGAGTAACTCGAACTGCGTCCTTTGCAATCGTCATGTGTTCTTCATGCATCCTTCCAGACTAGAAATGTCTGATGATTGAAGAAGAAATGTAAATAATGGCAAAGGTACAGGGTATGCTATTCAAAGTTGACTTGTCAGCTCTAGGTTTTTCAGATTTTCTGAGGCAAGGTTTAGCTGAAGGCTTTTATCAATGGCTCATCATCAGTTGAAATAACCCCATTCCTCCATTCAAAACCTAACCTTTAGCACATTTAAATGTTCTTAAATGCTTACATTCGAGATGCGGGTTGTTGAGATTTTTCGAAGAAGATTCGAGGAGGTTAGTCAAATGTCGACATCTTTCATAAGTGCCCGTCTTCAAGATGGCATTGTTTCTTGGCTTACAGTCGTAAGACACGTTGCTATCTTTGTTGGGGGGACTTTCATTTGGTGTGAAAGGGCCTAAAGCAGTGATTCGTATGTCGATCTCAACAGAAGAGGACAGATGAATTAGGTTGTACTGTAGCCGTTTTGCTTGGATACGACATTCAGGTTGACGCAGTCCACGAGAGCTCCTCCCTCGTTTCTGGTGAAAACGGGCTGATAGACATCGTCAGAGCTGGTCCTCATTCCTGTAAAGGTCTCACGTTAACTCTAGGGCAAAAAGACCATCCGGCTGTATTTTGCCTCTTATATCGACTCAATTAAGCCAAAAGAAAATAAAAAACCTAATTATCTTTCATACTGGTCCTGTTACTTTTGCTCAAGTGTATGCGTATGTGTATGTGTGCGTGTTGACGTCTATATACAATACAGTTCCTAAATCAGAGTTATCAAAGGTTTAATCTCAGGTTCTGATCGTCAAGATCTAATGACCCAAGAGAAAGCCTTGACCGAGACTGCGTAGGTCCGTAAACAAGTATGGTTGAGATAATGAAATATGAGCTTGTAAGTATGAAAATCAAGTTATGAAACCACTTGTCCTGACCTTTCAGTCTAGGGTCATTCACGTTTAACCCCCACAAGGAAAGGCATGACTTGGGCTGCGTAATCTAGCACGTCTGGTTTGGTAGATGAGCTTAATCTTGAGTGAAATTAGAACCATCACTGAGCAGACCAATTAATTCGCCTTCTTTTTGACGGCGGCTCAACATCCTCTCTCTCGCAACTTGGTCTTTTTTTCAGGGAGACCATGTAGAACGCACCTATTTCGAAGTCGTCTGCAATAGTAGTTGTCATGATTCCCAGCATCTGACAGTGGACTTGATACATTCTCAAA